GGGTTTTTTTTTTTTTTTTTTTTTTTTTTTTCAATTTTTTGCGATCGTCTATGTGTTGGCGCTATGTTGCTTCGTTAACGTCTATTCCTACGTTTGCGGGTACTCCCACTTTCACTGCTGCTACTTTTACTTCCTCTGCTGCTACTTTTACTTTCTCTGCTGCCACTTTTACTTCCGCTGCTGCTACTTTTACTTTCGCTGCCCCCCCTTCGCTTCTTCTTGGACTTTTTCTTGAGGTACTTTTTAATTTCGCCGTAATTAATCTTGTATGCGCATTCCATGCAGGCCCGGAGCTTCACCTTGGTCTGCAATTGGGTGTAGGAGACATGGTATAGTACTAAAGAGGGGTTGACATCGCGGCGCGGTTATCACGCCTTGCGCAGGAGGGAACCACGTCTCCCCCCCATCGCTTGACATTTGGAGTGGACAAGCCCACCATCTTCCCGTTACCTCCTTCTGGATGCCCCCCTCGTCATAGCGAAACAGAAATTCGTATGTCTTCAAATCGGTGTTGTCGCAATCGTTGGCGGAACAAATCATGTGTCCTTTCCCGCTTACAATTTCATCTTCCGTCCTCCACCTCAGGCCGATCTGCGTCCCCGTGGAATGATGCAAAAAGGGAGGTTAACGCATCAAAAAGAGAGAAAAAAAAAGCCACGCTTAACAAATGTATATAAAAAAAACGTAACGGATACGAAAAAAAAAAAATAACACATGGCGAGTACCTTTTTTTCTTTGTATCCACTCAAGTAGCAAACGACGTATTTGTTGCATATGCTATTGTAGTACTTTTGCAGAAGGGAGTTATTTTCGCTTGCCTAAGAAAAAAAGGGGGCGGGGGGGGTTTTGACGGGTAAGAATGGTGGATGTGCAGATGGTCGTGTCCACCGTGGGGTCGCCAAACGGCTACCCATGCACGATGCACCATGCACTCGTGAGTCTGTGCGCCCACCCGCTGTTCCCCCTGGGGATAGTTCATTTTTTGCTCACCGCGTCGTGGACAAATTGGTACTTTTTCTTCAATAGGTCGTAGTCGTCTAGGTACTTCTCCTGGTCACTTTCCATTTTAGTCTTCTGCAGAGAACGCAGGGACATCATTAGTTTGTGTCTCTCCATGGGGCTCATCCCATCAAACACTGTCCTGTGTATGGGGGTGGGGGGGGGTCAACTTGAGAGTTGTGCGGTGTATTGGATAGGAACATACAAAATACTTCCGCATGTACAGCATGGGGGTAGTAGGCAAGGGCCCTCTTCCCCCCTTTCCCAAATGAAGCGCTTGAAAAAGAAAAAAGTCTGTCTCTCCTGCACTGCAATTTTGTATTACTCACTTCGGAACTTGATAGCCACCCAAGTTAACATAACTCTTTGAATCCCACGCCATGGTGGAATACATGCAAAGACAAGGCCTGACTGTGTGTGTAGGGGTGGGTGGGGAGTATGCGGGGCCGATTCACCGTTCCTTTCCCTATTCAAAAAGGGCATCCACAAACCAAGACGATATGCTACTTCTTAATTGGGAGGTGTAGGCGGAAAAAACGAATTGGGGTCGTTCTTCTCTCCCCAAACCTACTGGTGCACCATTTGAAGCGCACAGGGGGGGAGAAGCACCACGATAGTATGAACTAGAGTACTCAGTCAACGGGGTTAGGTGTCAACTAAAAAAAAAGCCAAATGCCCAAAGGGAGAAAAAAGCTCCCCAATTGTTACTATGTTACGCGCGCTGCGTTAAACAGTTAATTTACAAGGAGGGAAAAAAAAAAAAAAAAGGCATCATGGAGACAGGGTATATAACAAACACTGCAAAAGGGCACTTTTTAAATTCGCTTCTCTCCTGGTCACCCTCCCTCCATTGTGCGAAACGCTTTGACGGACGCTCAACCCTTCACAAATGAGAGAAAAAAAAAAAAAAAAAAAAAAAAGGAACATTCAAAAAATTTCGTCAACCTTTTTCCCCGTTTTTGAACGCAACGGATAATAACAACTGGGCGTGAAAAAAAAAAAAAAAAAAA